TGATGTGGGTGTGTCTCACCTAACCCACTGAGGGCATAAAGAGTATAAAAATGGATAAGGAACTTATTCATATGGATCTTCTTCTTCTGCCTTTGGAAGAACTTCTTCTGCCTTCTCAGACTGGAACTTTACACATAACATACTTACAATAAGGCTTAATTTATAAACTAGGCACACCAAGAGATTAACAATAACTAATAATAGTACAATTATAACAATATAGTGTAATGAAAGTTCTCAGGTCCTTAGATTGTAATGGATCTACAGTAGCACTCCTTATCTGCACTTGCCATTACCCCAGCTCAGTCACAATTCAAAAACATTAAAGTCTTTTAAGAAATCATATTTATGTAACATTTATTAAAGCATATTGTTATAATGGTTCTATTCTACTATCAGTTATTATTGTTACTCTCTTCCTGTGCCTAATTTATAAACTAAGCTTTATCGTAAGAATATTACATATGGGAAAAACATAGTCTACACAGGGTTTGGAACTATCTGAGGTTTCAGGTATCCACTTGGGGTCTTGGAATGTATCCCTTGTGGATAAGGCAAGAGTATACTACTGACATTATGGGGTCTCCAACTTGTCACTGCAGGTCATGAGACTTAGCCTCTGCAATTATTTGAGCCAATTTCTTAGGTTAAGTTTCTGTATATCTATATACCTATATCTAGGTCTTTGTATTTCCTATGGGTTCGGTTTCCCTGGAGAATCCAGACTAACTAACACAATACTTACACAGTACTAATATTGGTGACAGTTACGGAAGAGAAGTAATCTGGTCGGTTACTTTTTCTGTCTTTTGACTCAGTAAAAGTTTGAGAAAGTAGATTGGATAAGCAGTGTCAGTGTGGTTTTCAGAAACTGTGGTAATACCAAACATTAGAGAAATTTGGTGTGTGCAACTTGCTTTACAGAAAGGCCTATCATATACGTTAGGGGACTTTGGAGCTGTGATAGTGGAGAAAGGGAGAAGAATGAAATTTGTGTGCAAGCCTCGGATGGTAGAGACAGCAGACAGAGGCTAGAGTCTTAGGTACTCCAGAAGCAGTAATGATGGGAAAGTGCCTGTGACAGGGAAACCTCTCCACTTGACCTGGAAACAAACAAACAAAAAAAAGATCTACGAAAGAAAGAGGTCACCCAAACTATCATTTAGAGAAAGATGGGAAAGAGCACACACAGTGCCTAGGAGGTGTGATATCAGGTTCAGGGCAGGCTGGACTATTCCTAATACCTTGGTTTGAATGGAGAAGTAAAAGATCTGTTTCTAAGTGTGAGAGAGGAATGAGAGTTGGGCTGCGTAAGACACAGAGGCATGTGTGGTATCCTCAGGCACTCCAACCTGGTACCAATGGAGGAAGGCACAAATGTGGAAGTAAACAAACAGATTCATGCCTTCAGCTCTTTGGAGAGCTTAGTTAAGACCATGGGCAGTGTGTGGGCACTACAGTACTTGTAGGGCCCAGCGGTGAGACTCCTGCTGTCTGCTAGAAGAGATTACCATAGCCCCTTCACCTCCCACTTTACCCACCACAATTTGCTCTCCAAACTTGATAACATTTATGATAGGAGACCTGAAGATCCTGGAGAGGACAAGCATACTTGGGGTCAAGGAAAGCAGGACAGAGATGGAAAGAGGCTTTTCTTGCCCCTAGCTTTTTTTTTTTTTTTTTTTTTTTTTTTTTTTTGGCAGCTGACTGGTAGGAATATTCAAACCCTTGACCTTGGTGTTGCAACGCTGTGCTCTAACCAGCTGAGCTAACTGACCACCCTCAAGCAATTTAATATATGCAGAATATTTCTTAAGGCATTGGCATTTCTCACTCTGGCACAGCTTTATGGCCCCCTTATAGCAGGAAACTATAGTTGTACAGGGTTGGCCATGGTCTAAATTCATCAAGTGAGGTGGGATGGTGCCAAGCCCTAGAAGGAAAAGATTTTTTCGCAAACTAAAATACATGCTGAAATAACAAATCACTGTGCAAACATAATAGGTGCCAAGTATTAAGTCTTTTGTAATAAATCCCTTTATTCCCCCCTAACAATCTTTTGTCTCTTTTACGCATGAGGAATTTGAGGAACAAAAAGACTAAGATGTGAACAAAGGTTATACACATCAGCAAGTCTTAGGATTCACAGACCCAAGAACACAGGTCAAGAATCTCTACCTTTCAAAATCCATAAGGGAACTGGACATAGGAAAGGCGGGATTAGAACTTCATTAGATCTAACACATGAGTCCAGGGTGAATTCATTCTACAGTGCCATCTTCATTTCTAAGCAGAGAGAGCAAAGAAAAAGCAAGCAAGCCCACATTTATAAGCATGATTATGTTTAATCTTCTCTGTCCTATAATATTGGATTTAGGGCAAATTCCATGCTGCAGGGTGTTTTAGTCCGTTTTGTGTTGCTATAACAGAAAGTTACCCAAGACTGGGTAACTTATAAAGAAGAGAGGTTTGTTTGGCTTAAGATTCTGGGACAGCTGCATCTGGCGTGGGCCTCTGGTTGCTTCTACTCATGGGGGAAAGTGGCAGGCAGCCAAGCGGGTACAAGCAGATCACAGGGCGACAGGAAGCAAAAGAGAGAGAGGAGGTGTCAGGGCCTTTTTAAGCAACGAGCACTTGTGGGAACTCATAGATCAAGAACTCACTCATTAATCCCCCCCAGGGAGAGCACTAATCCATTCATGAGGGATTCGCCCCCATGACTCAATCAGTTTCCAACACTGCCACATTAGGGATCAAATTTCCACATGAGTTTTGGAGGCGACAACACATCCAAACTCCATCATTCCGCCCCGGGCCCCCCAAAACTCATGTTCCTCTCACATACAAAATACAATCATTCTATCCCAACAGTCCCAAAAGTCTTAGCTTGCTCCAGCACCAACTTAAAAGTCCAAAGTCCAAAGTGTCATCTCAGACCAAAAGCAAAAGTCCTTCCACCTTTGAACCTTTAAAAGTTAAAACCAAATTTATCTACTGCCAAGATACAATGATGGAGCAGACATTGGGTATACATTCCCATTCCAAAAGGGAGCAATAGGCTAGAAAAAAGGAAAAACAGGCCCTAAACAAGTCCAAAACCCAGCAGAGCAGACATTAAATCTCAAGGCTGGTGAATCAGGGACCTTGATTCCATGTTCGACTGCCTCTGCACACTGGTGTGGTGGTTGGGTTCCCAAGTCCTTGGGCAGCTCTGCTCCTATGGCTTTCCTGGTCTTGGGCCACCCTTCAACTCTCCCAGGCCGGTGTTTCACTGTGGTAGCTCCACAGGTCTGGGGTCTCCATGGCAGTCCCACTCTCATGGCTCCACTAGGCATGGTGCGATTGGGGTTTCTCTGCTGCAACTCTGACCCCACATTTCTGTTCTGCATTGCTCTAGTAGATGGCCTCTGCAGTGGCTCCGCCCCTGCAGCAGGTCTCTGCCTGGGTCTGCAGGCTTTTCCACACATCCTCTGGAATCTGGGTGGAGGCTGCCACACCTCCACTGCTCTCACATCCTGCCGGCCTGCAGACTTAACACAACGTGGATGCCACTGAGGTTTTGGGTCTCTACTCTCCAGGGCTGCAGCACAAACCACACTTGGGGCTGCTCCAGCCAGAGCAGCTGGAATACAGGGAGCAGGATCTGGAGGGCAGCTGTGCCCCAGGTCTTTCCTCCAGGATAAGTCAGTCCTTCTAGGCCTCAGGGTCTGTGATGGGTGGGACACCCTTCCAGACTTCTCATATGCCTTTAGGGCATTTTTTCCATTGTCGTGGTTCTTAGCATCTGGCTGACTCACCGCCAAGATAACGTCTTTAGCAACCAGATTATCTGCTTCACCCTTGCACTGTTCTCCAGCTCTGTGCTTCTTTACTGCATGGCCAGGCTGCAGTTTACAAATCTTTACGCTCTGCTTCCCTTTTAAGTTCTGGCTTTACATCATGCCTTTGCTACCATAACTCAGAATAGGCTGTCAGAAGTAGTCATGCAGCGTCCTTAATGCTTTGCTGCTTAGAAATTTCTTTGGCCAAATGCTCTGGTTCACAACTTCCACAAAGTCCAAGGTCATGGACACAATGCAGCCAGGTTCCTTGCTATGGTGTAGCAAGGGTGATCTTCTGTCCAATTCCCAATAAGTCCCTCATTTCTAACTGAGACCTCATCATCTGCATGGACTTTACTGTCCACATTTCTATCAGCATTCTGCTCTCCACCACATAAGTCTCTAAGACATTCCAAACTTTCCCTTGTCTTTTTCTCTTCTTCTAAGTCCTCCAAACTCCTCCAACCTTTGCCCATTACCCAGTTCCAAAGCTTCATCCACATTTTCAGGTATCTGTACAGCAACAACCCACTCCTCAGTATCAGTTTTCTGTTTTAGTCTGTTTTGTGTTGCTATAACAGAACTACTTGAGACTGGGTAACTTATAAAGGAAAGAGGTTTATTTGGCTTAAGATTCTGAGACAGCTGCATCTGGCACAGGCTTCAGGCTGCTTCTACTCATGGCGGAAAGTGGCAGGGAGCCGGCGGGTACAAGCAGATCACATGGCGAGAGGAGGCAAGAGAGAAGAGAAGGTGCCAGGGTACTATAAACAACGAGCTCTCGCGGGAACTCACAGAGTGAGAACTCACTCATTACTCCCCCCTCCCCCAGGGAGAGCATTAATTCATTCATGAGGGATCCGCTCCCATGACTCAATCAGTTTCCAGCACTGCCACATTGGAGATCACATTTCCACAGGAGTTTTGGAGGGGACAACACATCCAAACTCCATCACAGGGGTAAGGCTGAACCCTTTGTATTACCACCTTAACCTGTGGATCTATCAGAGCCCACTCCTTCCCAGAGATGACAGGGCACTGGCTCTTGCCAAGACAAGCACATGCTATATCTGGATAACTCTTTACTATGAATGCCAATTCTAAACACAGTAGAAAGCACCAGTAGCAAGAAAAAAAAAGTTATTAGAGGGAAGTAAGGCATATTGTGCTTGGCTGGGCTCAGCTTTTGTCACAAGAAGAAATCTGGAAGTAGCCTGATGGGTGCTGGAGTAAAGGGGCAGCCAGGGATAAGTGGATGATGTATTGTACATAAGGGAATTCGAAGTCTTTACAACTCTCATCACTGCAACACAGCTCAAACACCAGGGCCCACACATGGCAGCCCAGTTTTTGCTTAGACACATAGCTTACAATCTCTGTCATTCTGAGACAGGACCGAGAAGGTCAAGAAAGCAGAAAGCAAGTGAGGAAGAATAGATGGGGGCAAAGAAGACAAAAGAAAATGAATAGTGAGTGGGACTATGAGAGGTTGAGGATTCCCAACTCACACAAGACATCACCCAATCCACCCAACTGCCAACTCAGAGTTGATACAGCCATTTCTTAAGCTTGGAAGGTCACATGAAGAAGGAATAAAGCATGGTCAGGCCATGGGACAGCATGGTGATCTCTAATTTGTGTTCCGTCTTGGGAGGGTGGGAAAAATGGTGATCAACAGTGTCAGTGAGATAGACAGTACAAGTCAACTGTACAACCATCAACCCCAGGGTGGGGAGAGTGAAGGAAGAATGGAAGCTTACCTTAAAATAGTCTAAGAACTGCTTGAGGGTCATTTCCTCATCATTAGGCATCATTCCTTGTACATCAAAGTGATCCCACAACGTCCACTCTTGGTCATAGTACTGAGGGACAAAGAGCAGGGAAGCAAGATACGGGCCATCCCAGATGTCCCTAGCCCTATTAGCCAAAGTGACATGTTAAGTCAGATGGATCATGGCTTTCTTCTGTTCAAAACCTTCTCATGAACCCATCTCAAATAAGCATTTGATATCCTTATAATGACCAACAAGAACACGTCATTAAGATCCTGCTATTTCTGTTAGTACCTTCCATCCTCTTTTACTTTCCCATACAATATACTCTAAGTACACTAACCCTCTCCTTTGTTGTTGTTGTTTTTTTTCTCTCAAACAGGACAGTCACATTGTACTTTGCAGAGGTCCAAAAAACAGTATGAAGAACGCACACGGGGTACACAAAATGTATAGTACCTGTTTATGGAAAGCCTCATCTGATACGATGAGGACCACACTGGGTCGTACACAGTATGTAAGTCTACACACACATATATACCCTACCCAATATACATGGCCTCACTGATGGGTAACATCAAAGGTTTCCACACATGCAGGCCCCTACCTGGTGATGGGGTGGGGCAAGGGACTCAGAAAAACTGAAGAAGGGCAGAGCCAAGTTGATGAATGTGTTCTTGTAGGACTCAAGCTGTTGGTGTCCCTGCACCACCTTGTCCAGCTCCAGACACACAAGGCTAACCACAGCTGCTGTGGTTGTCATAATAGATGGGATGATCTTCCCAGCAACGAGCTTGCCCTGTGAGACAGAAGGTGACCAGCAGTTGTTAGAGTTTTGCAGTATACAAGGGGCCAACTGTGAGAAACTCAAGCATGTGAAAAGTGAAAGCTTAGGTCTAGATTGCCATTACTTTATGTTGGTCTGCAGGGTGAATGTCATAGTTCTCTGTCTGGAGGTTGGATGCAGCCATAATAAAATCCATATGAAAGTTGATGTCATCATCCTGTTGTGACCAGGAAGGAGAAAGAAGAGTGGAGAGGGTCAGAAGAGGAAAAAGTTTCTTAGCAACTGGGGACATATGTATTTTCCACCCCAATTACCTGGCAGAACTCCAAGATGACTGGACCCTACTATAGGTCTATAATCCTTACGAAGTCTAAGGTTGAGCCACTTCAGCCCATCCCCCTGCCCATCAGGGCCCCAATAAGCACTTTCTCAAAGTCGATAGGATACATCTTGAACCCAGAGAGCTTGTCTGGTCTGGGAAGCATGACCTTGAGCTCCTCTAGGTAGCAGTCAACTGCAGGAAGGGAGGCAACCATCACCGCAAGCCAGCCTGTGAAGTAAAAGCAGGAGTCCAGAAGGGAGCAGAGGTAGATAAACCATTTGGAAAGGAGACACATCCTGGAAAAGAGTGGGGGAAGTGGAGGTAGAACAGAAAACACGCCAAAAGAGAGAAAAAGATACACACAGGTGTGGAGAACAGAAAGAAATACAACTCTGGAGACAATGAGGAACAAAGAAGAAGATATTAAGAAAGGATGTAGAAATGTAGAGAGCAGCACTATTCACAACAGCCAAAAGACAGAAGCAGCCTGTGTCCATTAACAGATGGTGAACTAACAAAATATTGAATATTGTAGGATTTCACTTTTATGAGGTACCTTGAGGAGTCAAATTTACAGAAACAGAAAGTAGAATGGTGGTTGCCACAGACAGTAGGAACAGAAAAATGGGGAGAAGTTCTTTAATGGATACAGAGTTTTAGTTTCACACAATAAAAAATTATAGAGATTTGCTACACAACAATGTAAACATACATAACAGTGGACAGTACATTTATAATAGGTAACATGGCAAATCTTGTGTGTTTCTGACCACAATTAGAAAGGGTAAAAAAAGGAGGCAAACAGAAAGATCAAGATGGGATAGATCCTGAGGAGGAGGAATAACATAAGAGAGACGAGGAGACATGAGGGAGAAATATGATAGACACAAGTTGGGGGGTGGGGGGAGATGAATGGAGTGGAAATGCAGGCCACTTCACAGAGGAAAATAGAAGAGAAATATGGAATGAGATAAGCGAGAACTTCCAGAGGGAGAAACAGGGTTAGAATAGAAGCATTCAGTACATATGTAGGGTGAGACAAGAGAAAATACTTGAATGGAAGATAGATGAAGAGATATTTACAAAAATAGGCAGACAGGAACAATGGGTAGGTATTTGAAAAGAGTATGAGGGAAATATACAAGGTGAGGAGATGTGTATATATATAGTGGAACAGTTAGATATCCAGAGAAAAGAAAACATAAAAGGGGAGATACATAGCATGAAAGAGGATAGGAAGACACAGAAAGAGATGAAAGTTCAAGATGAGAAAATACATGGACAACAATAGTAGGGCGAAGGTGTACAGAAGAGGAAAGTTGGGAGTAAGATATACAGATGTCAAGACAGGTGAGATCTGGAAGGAGACAAAGCCAGTAAGACATCAAGACATCAGTTTATTGGTGGAGATCATATTCCTTTCCTCCCTAGATAAACAGATCCAGAAGAAACAGGACAGTAGAACAAAGCAATGCAAACACACAAAGGAAAACGGACAAACAACTAATTCTCCTGCTAGCCAGAGCAGAATAAGAATGCACTCAGACAATCTGCCTCAAACAACCATCTCTTATTTCATGTAGGACGAAGTGAGGCCCAAAGGATGGTGTGTGGGTACACCTCAGACTGAAGGTCACAAAGCATGGCCACTGGCAAAAGATCAGTGAGTAGACTTAGTTGTACAGGACAAGTGGGAATGGTGACTCCTGTTCAACTGGCCAAATTACCCTGACCAACAGAGGCACTGGCACTGTGCATCTCCTGGTCAGAAGCATGGATCTTGACACCAGACTTGGGGATGAACTCAGAGACCTGCAAAGACTGCAGGAGTGTGGCCACCGCAGCTCGGTCCTGAGAGCCCATCAACCCATAAGTTTGGGCAAATAGGTTGGCAGCTGCCATCACGTAGTCCAGATGCAAAGGGTAAGAGGAGGCACAACATGAAAAATGAGCATATCAGCCCTTGACTGTGGAGATGCCACCTCCTTCCCACCCACCTCCCTCCACTTGACCCTAGGAGACCCCAGGGAAGGGACTTACATTGTCAACATCAAAAATGAGTGGATGTGGACAGCATTTGGGACCAGACCAGAACGGGGCTCCCAAGCTTGTGAGCTAACAGGATGGAAAGGTTCTGATAGAGTAGGACCTGAGAGAACAAAACTCTCTGACAACCCTTACTTCTCACCTTGTGTCCTGGAAGTCTAAAGTCTGAACTCAATATCCCTGGGTACTCATTTTATGCCAGACACACAGAAACCTAAAAGCTCCTATAAATTATTGGACACTATACTAAATTAATATTAAAAGATGTAAATTAATCCTCACAAAAATTCCACAAGATATTACTTTTCTCCTTCACAGATAAAGGAGATAAGTAACATTTTATTTATTTATGAAAATACTGAGGTACACAGAGAAAATACGTGATTTGCCCTAATGACAAATAGAGGCAGGACTTGAACCCATACTAGTTCCGGTGCTCTTGACTCCAAGATTTATCCCCTAACAAGTACATAAGAAGAATGTGGTATGTCTACACAATGGAAAACAACTCAGCTATAAAAAAAAAAAAAAAAAGAAATGGGCTGAACCTGTGGTGCACTCAGGAGAGTGCAGCGCTGGGAGTGCAGCAGCGTTCCTGCTGCGGGTTCGGATCCTATATAGGGATGGCCAGTACAATGCACTCACTGGCTGAGCGCGGTGCAGCTGGTCACAAAAAGTACCAAAAAAAAAAGATTATCATTCACAGCAACACGGACAAACTTAGAGAAAATTATGTTAAGTGAAATAAGTCAGGCACAGAAAGAGAAATACCACATGTTCTCACTTATAAGTGAGAACTAATAAAAACAAACAAACAAATGGGGGGAGGGAAGGACACGACAATCACAATAATTCCTTGAACTATTTTTTTTTTTTTTGTCTTTTTTGTGACCAGTAAGGGGATCGCAACCCTTGGTGTGGTGTCGTCCGCACCGCACTCAGCCAGTGAGTGCACCGGCCATCCCTATATAGGATCCGAACCCACGGTGGGAGCATCACTGCGCTCCCAAGTGCCGCACTCTCCCGAGTGCGCCATGGGGCTGGCCCTTCCTTGAACTTCTTAAGGGAGGAGTTATAATGTTGATGGGGGTGGGAAAGAGGAAGAAGGAAAGGGAGAAACTGGTAAAGGGCCACACAAACACACACACACATACACAAAAATAAAATTCTCTTCTATAATTTCTATAGCCCTGATGGGGAATTTGGTATGACTCAGCTCACATCATTGTTAAGGGAAACAGAAACCATGCATGTCCCCTGCTTGTGAAACAGAGAATGAGACAAAAACAGGTGTTTGTAGAAAGCACTTTTCTGAGATCCCCATGCTTCGGTGTGCCTGTGAACTTCAAAATGTGTGTGCCCTATGGGTGGGTGGGAAGGAGGTGGCAGCTCCACACAAAAGCATGGTATGCCTTGTGCTTTTGGCATGCCTGATTAATTGGAATGAGGTTATGTCAAAAGCCTGTAGTAAGCTCCCTATTTCCAGGAAATGTATTCTACAAAATAGATCCTGTGTTATTACCTGGTCGGGAGGAAAATTGTATAGCAGCTACTGGATGTTGTCAGAGTACTCTGTGTGCCAGTGATGGAAGGCCCAGGTCACCCAGTCAGCCCACATCTGTGGTCGCTGCAGCACCAAGCTGCGCTGCACCACCTCCAGTACCTCTAATGGCTGGGCACCTGCCAGCCACAGCGTCTGCTCCACAAACTTAGGGTCTCTATCAAGGATTCGAGGACACAAACGACAGGATTACTCAGGAGTCCCAGGAGTAAGATTTGGGCCAGCCCAGTCCCTCCATGGAAAGCCAAGTCTGACTCCAAAGTTATGAGGCTCAAGCACTCAGTAATTCTTTCCAAAAGTGTGCCTTCTGCTAAGTACAACTGTGGTGAGGAAAGCAGACAGGGTGCCTTGACTGGCAGGCAGGGGATAAGGCAGGAGGGTACTTGAATTACTAACATGAGGTACCGGTTGACAACTTCTGCTGGCTTCTTGAAGAGGCCTTCAAACTCATCCCGAGCCCACTGCAGACAGAGCAAACAAAATTACATGAAGCGATGGTTAACAAAATAGGTTCTATATGTACTGGAAACATTATCAGTGAATAAAGCAAATAGGAAGAGCACAACTGTTCTGGGAGGATAGAAGAGGAAAGCCTTCCAAATGTGGCTCTCCAAATTTCCCAACTTCCCATCTCAAATTTTAAAAGCAATGGCCTTGGTCTGCCCAGTGGTTACAAAAGTTTATACACACGAAAACTTATTAAGATGTATGTACATTATTCTAGGCGTGATTTGCCTCAATAAAAAGGAAAAATTCAAACTGAAAGTAGTAATACAAGGATAATCCCTATGCAGATCCTGGGGACTGGCATGCACAGGGATTATCATTTTATTTTTATTCTTGAGAATTATGACATCAGTAAATACAGTCATTGGTGAAGTGGTTTAGAGCATGTAGACCCTGAATATTCAGGTTCAAATATTCTGCCACATAATACCTGCTTTTGTGACTTCAGGCACACAGGGTAACACTCTATCTCTGCCTCCTAATTTTCAAAATGTATATGTCAACTGTAGTACCTACATCTCATGAAATACCTACATATACATTTAAAGCTTACTTAGAACAGTGCCGAGTACACATTAAGTGCTAAGTACTTTACAAAAGCCCTGTGAGAGAGACTACGGTTGAGTACATGTCACAGATAAAGAATCTGAGGCAGGGAGATGTTAAATCCAAGGCTACATACTCCATAAAACCTTTTTTAAAGGCTTCCCTGCAGATTGGGGACAGAGTAGGAGAACTACAGCATAGTAGAGGTTATATCTATCTGAGCATGTATACGTGCTTAGCAATGTCATAATTCTCAAGAATGATTCTCAAGAATAAAAATAAGATGATAATGCCCATGGAGGTATAGTTTGCTGTTAGCCAGTGCCAGGATCTGCACACAGGGGTTTATCCTTGTTTTATTTCCACTGTGAATTTTTCCTTTTTACTGACACAAATCACACCTTGAGTAACGTACACACATCTTCATTAAAATTTTCACATGTATAAACTTTTGTAACCACTGAGCAGATCAAAGCCATCGCTTTTAAAATTTGAGATGGGAAGTTGCGAAATTTGGGGAGCCACATGAAAGAGACAGAGTGACAATGGTCAGTGCACAATCATGAACATACCCACTCTACATTCTGCAACTGCTGGGCTGAAAGGGTTAAGTGACAGATGGAATTATTCTTTCCTCGTGTTTTCCCTCCTCCTAAACATGACCTCAAAGACTGCACTAAGAATCATTCTGGAATCAGAATTAGGATGATTAGGTTATGGGTGCCAGTTACCCAGGTTCACTTCGTCCACCTAGATATGTACACTCTGCAGTATGTTATGTTTGTTATACAAACAGAGTCATCCTGACAAACCAGCTGTTAAATACATACAGGTAACCATTAGGAAAATCAAAATATGAACTTAATATCAGAGACAATTTAAAAACTAGCAGAGACAATATTAAGAAATTAGTTTTGTTCAGCAAGAAGACAATATTCTGTTTACACAGGGGAAACACATTTTCACTCTTCAGATGCAAACTGAATCATATTCTTTACACCTGTATGCTTTCAAGCTAAAAATTTCAAAGTATCAAAAAAGAAACTCCTTCTAAAAACTTGGGCTGCTGGGTGTAAAGTGAAGAAAGAAGTAGATTTGGAGAAAAGACACACGCTCACTAAAGTCTGCAGTATCTCAATGACACAAGCTTCATGACTGAGAAGCTGCCCAGGTGTTCCCTTTCACTTCTGACTCCCCCAAAGGCTGATCACCTGCAGGGTGTGCTTCATGGAATTGGGGAAGTTCTTCAACGTGCAGATAGGAATCGACCTCTCAGGTGGATCATGGCTGGAGCCATAAGACTGTGTCAGGAAGGGAATAACCAAGTGCACATTGCCCTTGGTGCCCAGTGTGCCTGACTCCAGCAGCGGCTTTCAGTAGTACACACAGCAGCGGCCCACATACAAGCCTTTGAGGAGGTTGATGGAGACAGCATGAGACCTGGGAGAGGAACACTAGGATAGGACCGTAAGACAAGCACTGCCCAACACACACACACACACACAACTCTGCCCTGGTCCTCATCTGTCTCCAAACTCACGGGTATCCACATTGTCTAGGGCATTGGCCATACCATCCAGCTTTTGGAAGAAGTTATCATCATAGATGTGCTCTGTGTCAGGGCCCACACGGTTCTGGTGGCTTACCACACTGATATTTGGATTTATTTGATGCACAGCTGCAGCAACTGTATCCGACTTTAATTTCTGGGCATGGAGAGGGGAAGAGAGCCATCATTCATGCATTCTCCCAGCAAATCTTTTCAGAACTCTTCTGAGGACTGGTTTACCTAATAGTGGACAAGACCTAAGCTCCAGGTTCAGGAGGTTCCAGTTTAGCAGAAGAGATGGTCTGTGACAATGCCACATGGCTGAGACTGTAAATGTGGCAGGAGGTAAGAATAGATTTGTGTTAGTTGTCTTAACTGACACAAATACGAAACAATGAGGTATCTGTTCTTTTCACCTACCCAACATATACCGTTTTTCAGTTAATCTAATGATAGATTTCCCCAAATAAAAGGAAGGCACTAGTACAAGAACAAAAAGGATCCTTTCAAAACCCAAGTTCCTCTTCTGCTCAAAATGCTCCACTGGCTCCCACTTTCACTTGGGGTAACATGAGTTGTGGCCCCCTCCATCTAACATCTATGTTCCTCAAATACCATGTGGCATATCCCAACCTCAGAGTTTTGCTCAGGCTGTTACCTTTGCCTGATACATTGTTCCCCCAGATATCTTCTTTTTCTCTTATATACTCCAAGTCTTTGCAGAAATGCTATGTTTCCAGTGAGGTCTTCCTTGTCCACTTGGGAAAACACCCTCCCAAGCACTTCTAAATTTCCCTTATGTTTTTCATTATTGCCTTTTAGTAGTACTTCTCACATTCTAACCATGTACTTTGTTACTGTATTTGTTTATCAAGCAGTTGTCAAACAATCTTAAAATCAGTCTTAAAAAGGAACTTCTATTATGTCAGTTATAGCTATCGTTATGTCCCATATTAGAAAGTTTTTAAATGCAGTTAAGTCTATTATGTACAGTAAAAACATTAATAAGGGAAAAAAGGTTTTTTCCAATATGACATTTTTGTGACAATAGTCACACTGTATTTACCGTTTTGCAAATCTCTTTTTAAATTATGTACTCTCTTAAAGACAGCTGGAATCAACAGTATGTTCTTTTTTTTTTTTTTTTTTTTTTGTCTTTGTCCG